CTCCCGTCTCACAGTTCAGCTCAGTCACTGTGCTGTGATAATGAGTGTTAAACAGCACAATAGTTCCTTCTTACTGCCAAGAACCAGTTGGCGCCCCTTCACTGTGAGAACAAATAGTAGGAGAGACGAATGGACTCTAAAGAAACAATGAATTTCTCATAAAAAGATGCATACCGGAAGGATTGTATCGAAATGGTACATTACTGGTTGCTAAGTGAGTGATATAAAATTTTTGTTTTACCTCAAGGGCAATTAGCCTTTAAAGCTCTAAATTCATAAAACATTACTCTGTGTATGAAGCACTTAAGAAATAAATTACATTAAATAAGTGATTACAAAAGGAAAAAGCAAATTACAAGCCATAGAAAAGTTGACATATATTCATACTGTGCTGTATCCTTTAGCTTTAGGCCTTTTGTGACCTGCTGGGTCACAAAATGGGCCTATGCTGAATGAAGAAATCTTTTAATTATCTTTTGTCACTTATTGATCAATGTTGATAATTCAAGATGTAAGTAATGTCTTTGAGGAGTTATACATACTTAAACAGATACTTTAAATTCTCTCTTTTTTTCTTGAACGTAGACAAAGGCCACAACTATTGCTACAATTCTAGATTTTAAATTGATCAGATAACAAGGCTCCAAAACTAAAATCAATAATTATTAAAAATCCATTTTTATGTGAAAATTGTTATATCTGATCACAGGGTTGTTAAGTCCTTGTCTAAGAATTTACTAAGCTTTTTGTTGCAAATTGACCCTTTTGCACTTCTTGTTTGTTGAGTTTAGTTGGCTTCTATGCTACTTTCCCATCTAATTTGGTGTGCTCCTGCTGAGTGTCAGTATTGAGGAACTCGGGAGGTGTCGCCTGGTTCAGACTTCAGGATCTATGATCTGGGCCAATAAGTTGACATGGCGATAGATATGGGAGATGGGCATGGCTGCTGGTGTTTCCATTAATATGGGGGGAGGGAAGAGGAGGCAGTCCATCCTAACTCGGATTGGGTTCTCAATCTGAGCAATCAGATAGCTGAAATTATTTGCAGTTTGGTGTCTCTGCAGAAAATATTTACGAAGTAGTGGAATGAGACCTGGTGTGACTCAGCAGTGGGCTGTGGGTGTGGCTGCCATGGCTTCAGCAGGGCGGATACCCTGCCTGCCCCCTCCCCAAACGCTCTGGAGACCGTGGTGCCATGAATTTTTAGCTGCTTGACGTATATCTCCTCAAAAATTTAGTCGGGAATAAGTAGAGCAGGGCTGGTGTCTGAGTCGACCTGGTGGTGGCCGTGGGACGTCAGCAGATGCTTCTCATAAGGACCCCTTCAGCCTATCAAAATCATAACTGTTCAATTAGGAAAGATTAGTAAATAGAAGGCATCCACATTGGGAATCCACATTGGACGAAGCAGTTTGTTTGCAGATGGCATGACCTTGTATGCAGGAAATCCCAAAGAATACAAATGTGCACATACAAACTATTAGAGCTAACAAATTAAGATTATAAGATTCAGAATCCGTATAAAAATCAGTTGTGTTTCTATAAGGGATCTGTGCAAAATAATGTTAGGAAAATAATTCCATTTGTAATAGCATAAAAAAAAGGATGATATGCCACTAAATTCCTCCGTCCCTCTCAAAGAGCCCGGCAAGCTACCAAGAGTATCCCACCCACACAGCAGAGCCTGACAAGCTCCTCATGGTGTATTCAGTATGCCAAAAACAGTAACAACAAGTCTTACAATGGAGACGTTACTGGTGCCCGCTCGAGCAAATCCATGAACAATGGGAGGACAGTGCTGCAGTGCTATGCCTGTAAATGCTACTGCTCTAAAAAGAGTTTAAGGCCTATATACAGAAAACTATAAAATATCCCAATGAAGCAAATTAAAAGAAAATTAAACGAGAAGAAAAGGATCTCATGTTCATGGATTGGAAGAAAATGTTATTTAGATGACAGTGTCCCTGGATTGATCTTTCATTTCAATACAATCAAAATCTCAGCTGTTTTTTTTATGCAGAAGTGGACAAGATTATCCCAAATTTCATATGGAAATGCAAGGGACATGCAATTCCTAAAATGGTTTTGGAAAAAGAACAACATTGGAGGTACTCACTCTTCCCATTCAAAACTTAAAGCAATATAATTAAGACCCTGTGGCATTGACATCAATTTAATCATACAAAAATGAGATAGATTTAATAATCTGGAAATAACCCTTACATTTATGATTAATAGATTTCAACAAGGGAAGCAAACAGGTTAGTTAAGTGAATAAAAGAATATTGGCATATTCTTTCCAATAAATAAGTGAATATGCACTTGCAAAAGATTGAAATTAGAAGCTGATCACAGTCATTCCCAGTAGATTCCTAAAAATTGTATGTTCTGCCTTTGTCTAGACAATAAGGTTTCACTTCAGACAAGAAATGCTGTAGGTAAAATGAACTCTTGAACTGCTTTACACACAGGAGATAGAGAAGGTATCCAGATAATTGAAAAATGCTTTAAATATGACTCAGAGTTTCTGAGATGGATGGCATTAATGGTTACATAATAATGAGATGGACTTAATACCACAAATGCACACTTGAATGATGGTAGTGGTACATTTCTTATGTATTATTATATACAAAATTGCTATTAAGGTTTTTTTGTTTATTTGGCGACCATACCCAACAGAGATTGGAGTCCAACCTGGGTCAGCCTCATGTAAAGAAAGCACCTTATCTACTGTACTTTCTCCCAGACCTATGTACAAAATTACTGCATATACTCTTACTATATACAGACAGCAGAAAAATTATGTTGGATCATTCACACAGTACACAAAATTACTAAAAAAAAACACTCAACAAAATTAACTGATGTGAGTAAAAACCTAAATTTTAGCATTAAAACTATAAATTTCTCATAAGAAAACATAAGTATATATTGCTGACCCTGGGTTAGGCCATGGTTTCCACAAGCAACCAAAGAAAAATTAGATATTGGACTCCATCAAAACTAAAACCTTTTACATGCTTTTTTTTTCTTTTTGGGTCACACCCAGCGATGCACAGGGGTTACTCCTGGCTCTGCACTCAGGAATTACTCCTGGTGGTGCTGGAAATCGAACCCAGGTCGGCTGCATGCAAGGCAAACATCCTATCTACTGTGCTATCACTCCAGCCCCTAAAACCTTTTATATTCTAAGGCCACTTTAAACAAGGTTAAAGGCAACTCATAGAACAGGCAAAAATATTTACATATCATATATTTGCAAATCCAGAATAAATAAAGAACTCATTTAGACCTCAATAATAAAACGACAACCTGATTTTAAAATGGGCAAAGGATTTAAATGGACATTTCTCCAAAGAAAGTATACAACTGACCAATATGCACATTTCACGTGTCCAACATCATTAGTAATCAAGGAAATGCACATCAAAATCACAAGATACTACTTCACATGTATAAAATTGACTGCATCTTAAAAAGCAGGCAGTAATAAGTGTTGGCAAGGATGCAGAGAAATTGGAGCTCTCCTATATTACAAGTGGGAATATAAAACGGTGCCGTTGTATTGAAAACAATTTGGCAGTTCTTCAAAAGGCTTCAACTCAGAGCTACCCAGATGCTCCAACAATTAGAAGTCCTTAGTTATACTCAAGGTAAATCAAAAGCATATGTTTACATAAAACTTGTATACACAACTATTCAAAACAGCATTATTCATAGTAGTCCGCAAATGGAAATAATCCTAATATCCACCAGTCAATGAATTTATAAACAAAATACGCTATATTCATACAATACAATATTTTTCAGCCACCCAAGGAAATAAAATATTGATTCATACCACAAACTTTGTTTGTGTATAAACCTTGAAAGCATGATGCAAACTGAAAGAAGCCAGATGTTTTAAGACACACATTTTATGATTCTATGTATCATTTACTCAAAGTCATGGAGATAGACCATAGATAAGATTTCAAGGGGACAGAATGATAGTACAGAGGATGCTTGCCTTGCGTGACCCGGATTTGATCGAGGCATCCCATATCGTCCCCCAGGAGCCAAGACTGGAATATGCCCTGAGCACCACTGGGTATGACCCAAAGACAAACAAACAACAACAACAACAACAAAGACTTCAAGGAACACAAGTACTGAGGGAAAAATAAAATGAGTGTTAGTGACTTTGGGATGAAAACATTTTGATAAGCAATGATTGTGGTTGCAAACTTTATGACTATAGACTTTATGTAAAGTCTCTGAATTTTACATATTAAAAAGGTGAAATTGATGGTCAATTATCTGTTTTTTTATTTTTTAATATTTTTCTTTTTGAGTCACACCCAGCAACTCTCAAAGGTAACTCCTGGCTCTGCGCTCAGGAATTATTACTGGCAGTGCTTGGGGGACCATATGGGATGCCAGGGATTGAACCCAAGTCAGCCACGTGCAAGGCAAATTTCCTACCCATGTAATATCTCTCCGGCCTTCTCAGTTTTTTAAAGTACTATTTTTTTTCTTGATCACTACAAGCTAATTGTTATAGTTAAGCATAATATGACTTGCAATGAGGATATTAATATTAAAGCACATATGTGTTTATGTGCATATGTTTTGTTCCTAAGAAGAAACAAAGGATATTTCATAGTCAATATATTTGAGGGTGGGGTGGCATTGAGGCCACACAGCAGTGCTCAGGGACTATTCCCAGCTCTGTGCTCAGGAGTGACCCCTGGTTGTTCTCTGGGCAACCATATATGGTCCTGGGAATCAAATGGGTCTGCAATAGGCAAGGTAAGTGCTTTTACCATTCTGCTCTCTCTCTCTGCCCCCCAAATGTGATGAAATTTAGGTATCAGTGAGCTCAGCGTGTCTCTCACTTCTGCTGATAAGGCCTTTCCTCTGGAGACTGATCAAAGCATTCATTGTTCTGAAACTGAAAGAAGAGTTGTTAAGTCCTGAAGCCCACAGCCTCACATGTGCTCTCGTTCTCTCCCCAGGTGCTGCCTTTCCCAAGCCAGGTGGTGTACAACCGAGTGGGCAAGTGTGGAAGCCGGACAGTGGTGTTGCTTCTGAGAATCTTATCAGAGAGGCACGGATTCAATTTGGTCACATCAGACATTCACAATAAAACCAGGCTCACCAAAAGCGAACAGGTCAGTGGTCTGCGCACACCTGAATCCTACTTGGCTTCCCTTCCTTTGTGGTTGGTAATGCTCACCCTTCCAGAAGCCCTGCGTGCTCTGAATGGATGAGCATCATAGTTATCATTTTATACGACATCCTGGTCAATGTAGAAGGAAAATTAAGGGAAGTTTCTGAAGCAAGTCCTTAAACCGAGAAGTTGCCCCGAAGGGGACGTTCATGAAGACCAATAAAAAACAGTGTTTATGCATCATTGTCTGCTAAGCTCAATGTAGCAAAGCATGAATTTCAAATGGTTGCACCACTGAGTTGTCATTAACACTACCATTCTGATAGCAGCAATAAGAAAATGTCATTTTATTTCTCCCTCTGTATTTTCTCACATGCGCCCAACATATGTAAGATGATAATCAAGAGGAAACTATCTTTGGACCAGGAATCTGATTTGTTGTTGGTGGGATAATTACCTTGAGTTTCTAAGGTATTTGGTACATTCAGTGGTAGCAAAAGTATTGTGCATTTCTAGGCACAATTCTGCTTTAATACTGTCAAGCTATGTAAGTAGACATGCCTGTAGTGGAATGAGGGTGCTGTCTTTTGCCAGGAAGTTATTCCTAAGGACCCAACTTTGTAGTCTACTCAGTGCTAGGATTCACATGTCTCCATGGAAGTGCCTAACTCATGTGGGAAAAGTTAGGCCCAGAGCTTCTTATCGTATTTCACAAGGCCAAGTTTGATCTCAAAAGTTGCTCTCTCCACTGGATACAGCGAATGAGACAGATGGCTGTCTGATTAAGTCAAGGTTCTCCAGAGAAGAGAACCAGCAGGTTGGAGATGTATATGTATATACACACATGCATAATGAGATATAGATGGATAGAGAGGTGGATGGAAGGATGGGCAGAAGGGTACTTGTGTGGGTGGGTGTATGGATGTGGGGGTAAGCGGGTGGGTAGATGGATTTATCATGGAAAAAAATGGACTCACACGACAATGAAGAAAAAGAAGTTTCACAATCTGCCGCCTGACACCTAGGAAACCTATTTGTCTAATTAGCCAGAGAGCAAAGACCTAAGAACCACTGGAGTTGATGAAGTCAGCGCTAGTCTGGGTTTGGGATGAGGTGAAATTGTCCCAGCACAATCATTGAGGGCAGGGGAGAGAGAGTGAAATACCTTCTCCCTCACTCTCCATTTCATTCTGTTCAGGCCATCCGGAGACTGGATGAAGTGGACAGTGCCCCCCTCCTGGGGAAGGGCAGTTACTTTACTGAGTACCCCACCCTCCAAATCAGATGCACACCTCTGCCAAAAACACTCCCCCCAAACACACCCAGGAATCACATTTCACCCCAGAACTAGTCAGCTAAGAAAAAAATGCCTGTTACCATCACCCACATTTGAGAAAGGCCCATGCTCTCAGATTGAAACTGTAATTACAACAAGGTTTACCTTTCTATCCTCACCCCTGAGGCACTGAGAGCCCTACAGAGGGATTTCTTATTGTCCTCTCTTATTTTCTTGGGAGCTAGTGAGCACTATTTTAAGATAGTAACAGAGCCCATACAGAGCAAGATGAAGACAGGCTGCTGAGTGATTGTTGTGTTTCACACTCAGATCTTGAAGCTCTTTAAACACTTCTGGAAGCCTCCAATAAAGTCAACCTGCGAGTACCACTCCCAGGAGTCATTATCCAATAGCAAAATATCTATTTCAAGACCCCCCTACCCACCTTTGTAGGAGCTGTGGAAGACTCTGATGGGAAGATCTGCTTGGTGATGTTGGTCAGAGCATGTCCTCAATGGCTCATCGGGGAAATGCTCTTTATCCTCTTTCCTGACTGAAGAGCTAATAGGCTGAGACTGGCCATGCCTTTTTAATCCCCCAAAAGAAACTATAAATAGCCAGTGTTACTGCAAGTTGATGATGATGACTGAATTTGCCTTTCCTTAGAGTCTAATTTGCAGGTCTGCTTATTACAGTGTGCCTAAACATTCCTATGTGGAGAAAATCAGCTCATTTCTCAAATACATCATTAAATGTAGATTTTAGTTCCCACTCTGGAGAGGTGTACAAAACAACCCAAGATCGAAGGGCATCCCACCATCAGACACTTCTAGGTTTAGGAACGCCCTGGAAGAGAGCGCACAGCCCTTCATACTAAAAGATATTGTGAAATTTTGCACATATTAAATCACTTTTGTCTCTGACAAGGAACAAATGCTAGGAAATAAAATGCAACTTTTCTGAGAAGAGAATTGTTTCATGAAAAAAGATGAGTAATATGGTCCTGTGTAACTCCTGGGAAATCTAGAAAGGGTTAAAGGCAAAGTCCTGGTTTGCGCTCATCTGTTTGGAATGATTGGCTTGTCTGGGAGCCAAAGGAATAGACTAGACAATCCGTAAGGTTCTTTCCAGCCCTGTGATTCTGTGATATATTTATACAACTTCTAGCATAATCTGTGCATGGTGTAGTGGAGACCTTTTTGATTCCTGTGGTCAGCGTGACCTAGAATATATTTCATTACTTAGTTATTCCAGATTCCTATTAAAGTATAAGGCAAGTTTAAGAAACTTGGGGAAAGGTACAGATGGGTTTTAGACTCAAGCTGATGTTTATATGTAAAAACAAACGAGGAACAACAGTGATTGCCTTTATAGCAGACTGACCGCCCGTGGCGTAAAGAGGAAAAAGGCATTTGGGACAAAAACCAGGGAACTTGAAAATCAGAAGTGTATAAAACAAGCAGATACAGAAAATAGTATTTAACCTGATATATTTGGGAAATATTAGGTGGGATTAAGAGCTCTGTCTTCTTGGTCATTCATTAGTAGACCCAGGGAGGAAGGGATTTAGAAGATGAGTTGGAGTTTTATCGCCAGTGATCCTTAACTTTGACCTGGAGAACTGAAAATGTGTTCTCATGGAAGTGTTGTTCTCGGTGAATAACAAGCCTGCTTCAGATGTGCTAGGAGGTAAACTGGGCGTAGGAGCTGACCACCCCTTTAAACCACTACGTGAAACATTTTTTCATGAGAAAATATATTTCCACACTACTGTCTTGCAAATGAACTTTGGAAACGACTCTGTTTAAAAGACTGGAATCAGCTATACTGCTGAATTTATACATCTCCCCAGAAGCTGACATTTCTCCCCAGAGAGTAACTACACACACACACACACACACACACACACACACACACACACACACACACACAGGACTGAATTTAAAAACATCTATTTAATGAAACAAGATATTGAAGGACTTAAAGAGGAAAGAGAGCATGAAGACACCAAATGTTACAATGCCTATAAAAATCCTATTACATCTGCCCTTACTGAAATAGAAATACCTTTGGAACTCATATTTTAAGAATTCCACCTCACAGAAGATCATGGACAGCTGCTGTGGCCAAATGTTGACGCTTTGGGGGGCAAGTAATGCAAACCCACAATGATGTCATTTCCTGTGTGCTCCAAAAACAGACTTACACTTCTTGGGCATTTTTTGAAGCATCTCTTGGAATGAGGAGAGTATATGCGATTCTAAAGCTTGGGACTTAGTTCCTATAGGACCTGGCTGTGATCTGACCAAGACTCAGAACCACAGTTTGATCTCTTTCAGAAAATCCCTCTAGTTATAGTAAAGGTCTGAGTGCCAGAAGCCACGCTAAGCCACAGGAATTCCAAGCATTTCATTCTTATTAGAGAAGAGCAAAAAACGTCTCCAGCATGTAGCACTCGAACCAAACAGATCAGAAAAGCAAATCATTGATGTATATAAAAGCTACTGAGGATTGTAAATTATAAACAGCACCCAGTGCATGCTCGTTATTCATTTGGTTATTTCATTGACCTAAAAACATACGTGTGTGTGTGTGTCTGTGTGTGTGTGTGTGTGTGATTCCCTATTTATGAGAAAATCAAGGCAACCAGGCATATCTACTTCATAACAGAAAAGAATGATAATTTGTGTACCTCGACTTGAACTGAGGCCATCCCAAATTGAAAATCCTAACAAATTCTCTTCCTAAGGCACTGGTTTCAGGGCTTGCAAGACTGGTCTGTAGCTAGACCTTTTGAAACATACAGTTGCAATGCCCCACTGGATATTGTGACTTAAGAGTCTTCAATTAACATTTTTTAAAAAATGAAGTTCCCTTCACTCTCTTGGTGCCAGCAGTGTTAAGAGTCCCTGTCTCAGCCTTCCTATAAGCAGTTCCCTAAGTGTGTTCCCAAGAGGCCTTAGCCCCTAAGTTACTAGGGAGAGAAAGAAAAACCTGTCATGATTACCTAAATTGGGAAAGTACAGCCACTCAGATCCCCTGAAGGAAAATTTTTACAATGATTATATTCACATTTTAGACTGTGAATTTAAATTCTTTCACTTAAACAAAAATTTGAAAAATCTCTTTAGCTGGTTTCTACCTTCGGCATCCCCTCTTGATGTGGGCGGATCTTATTTGCATGCCACAGAACTGGGATTCCAAGTTTGAAAAAGGCAGGACCAGCCTCTGCCCTGTGCTGAGGAGAAAAGAAGGTGGCGGCTTCTTCTTTTTTTTTTCTTTTTTATTTTATTGAATCACCATGAGATAGTTACATGCTTTCATGTTTGAGTTAAAATCACACAATGATCAAACACCCATCCCTCCACCACTGCCCATTCCCCACCACCAATCTCCCCGTTATACCCCCCTTTCCCACCCTCCCCTTGCCTCCATGGCAGACAATATTCCACTTACTCTCTCTCTTCTTTCGGGCATTATGGTTTGTAATACAGATACCCAGAGCTTATCATGTTTGGTCCTTTATCTACTTTCAGCACACATCTTCCATCCCAACTGATTCCTCCAGCCATCGTTTTCTTAGTGACCCCTTCTCTATTCCAGCTGCCTTCTCCCCTTTGCTCATGAAGCAGGCTTCCAGCTATGGAGCAATCTTCTTGGCCCTTGTATCTATTTTCCTTGGGTGTCAGCCTCATGTTATGTTATTTTATACTCCACCAATGAGT